TTTCTTCTGTGTGAGATCTAAAAGAAGTGTCTAAGCACTGGGGTGGCGGATGATCTACTCTTATCCTTCCAAGGAAAACTTGGCTGCCATTGATGCTCAAATATTTCTAGACAAAAATGAAATAGTGGGTGCTTTCTTAAATTGGTGCCCCTTTCCATTAGCTGAGATCTACAGCATTATTATTAGCATTATTATTACCCACCTTTATTTTGCACAACTCAAGGTAGCGTACATAATACTCCCACCTTCTATTTTCCTCAGAACAACAACCCTATGAGGTGGGTTGGGCTGAGAGATCAGGACTGGCCCATAGTCACCCAGGTGGGTTTCATACCTAAGGGAGGAATAGAATTCATAGTCTCCCGGTTTCTAATCCGGCACCTTAGCTACTACACCAAACTGGCTTTCATCCTCTGTTAGTAGCTTAGTATTGTATTATAATGTTACGATTATTCTAAATAACATGAAAAAGTGAAAGAATATTCATTTTCCTTGGACATTAAATCCATTAAGTCAGGTGTAAGAGAATCATGGATTTTTAAAATACAAAACAAATTCTCAATGTGTACCTTATTAAACTAATCCAAAGTTTCTTTACTTTCCCAGCATCAGTAGGCCTGTAAGTAGAAAAAAGTATATGCAAGAAAAAAGATTATTACAAGTTGAAGTATAAGGGTCAATATAATAATAGAACAACAATATTACAGTTAATGTTTATCTTACAATGTGGCTTTATTTAGGATTTGCTCTTCTCCAAATAACCTTTAATCCAGCAACAGCTTTCTTCTTCCTCTTGTACCTCTAAGCTACCTGATACATTGTTCTGGAGAATTCTCCAAGTGCCTAGGGCAAATTTCCAAGGGCACAGGATGCAGGGAAGAAGAGGAAATTGGTGAAATTTGCTTTCTTCCCTTCATCAATAGGGCCCTGCAGAATCAGAACTCTATTCATGGAATAATAATGGATGCAAGTTCAATTATTTTTAAGACAATGTATAAATCATGAAACAGTTATTCTAACTTCTGCAATTCCTAGATCAAACAATAATACAAGTAATCCTCACCTAACAACTGCCCTGTTTAGTGACCATTTGAAGATACGATGGTGCTGAAAAAATAACTTTGCGACCAGTCCTCACACTTATGTCCTTGCAGGTGATCGAGATTCAGGTGCTTCACAACCAGCGGGTGTTTATGACTGTCGCAGCATCCCGTGGTCATGTGATCACCATTTGTGCACTTCATAGCTGGCTTCTGACAATCACATTCAATGAAGAGGCTGGCAGTAGTCATGGTCTTGCAAGTCATCATCATGTGATGACTCACTTAACAACTGCGGGTGATTCACTTAATGACCACAGTGGAAGTGATGTAAGTCCAGCACGGTCATGTGATGTTTCACAATGACCATGTTGCTTAGCAACAGAGTTGCCAGTCCCAGTTGTGGTTGTTAAGCAAGGACTACCTGTATAAGCAATCAGTTTGATTAATGAAAACAAATAAATCCCTTCACCTTCCATTTTCTAAATCTTTATTGACTTTGTTGTCTGAGATTTATAGAATATTTAATATAGAATATTTAATAATAGGCTGTCAATGATGTAGGGAAAATTAGAATCTTACCAACATATTGGATGCAATGGTACATTCTAAAAAATATGAATATTTGAATTGTCTTGCAGTATTATCCCTGTGTCATATTTTCTGAAGCATTGCTCTAGCATGTTTGTTGGCATTGTCTTTTAATTACTAGGAATACTTGTTCAAGAAAACTTATTAGTAAAGTATAAATAATTCTTTCTCATACAGAGATTTCTAGCTCAGTTATTGTGTCTGCTGAGGAAGAAAGCACCAAGAGTTTCAACAGTGACCTACAGTTATCTGATAAAGATGCAACACATGAACTCATGCCTGAAAAATCCATTTATTCCAGCAATTTAGACAGGAAAGAGGAGAAGAGGGATATTCCAAGCTTCCTCAAACATGTGTCCAGTGTTGAAGTCAGTATAGGAGATATAGCTAAACTTTCTGTTACTGTTACTGGCAATCCAAAACCTCAGATACAATGGTTTTTCAATAATGTTAAAGTCACATCATCTGCAGATTATAAATTTGTGTTTGATGAGGAAAGCTACAGCCTCATTATTCTTTCTGCAAACTCTGAACATGAGGGAGAATACACCTGCATTGCTAGTAATGTTCATGGCAAGACTGCTTGCAGCACTTATCTGAAGGTCAATCCTAAAGGAAGCAGCATGGGATCAGAGGCAGAGTTCACCAGTGCAGTTTCCACAGAGATGACAAGAGGTCCTCAACCTCCATATTTTGTTAGGAAACTAAATCCTGTTCACTTTGTGCAAGGTGCGCTAGCTGTGTTTGAATATAAGGTGGCCGGTGAGCCGGCTCCTATAATTCACTGGTTTAGGGGAAATGACCAACTTTTCTCCAGTGCACATTACACCATCAGTCATAATCCAGATGGTTCTGGGTCTCTGATGGTGAATAACTGTCAGAGGGAAGATGGAGGTTTATACTTCTGTAAAGCAAGCAATATCTTAGGTGAAGCCACAAGTAGTGCAGAACTTCTTATTCCCCAAGATGTCCCTGCTGAACTTCCATATGTAGATCAGAAGGCTATGCAGATAAAACGCACTAAGATTTTTAAAGAAACTGTAAGAGAGCAGGCCACTGAGTCACAGATGTGTACAGTTAAATTGCCCGATGATATAGGGCACAACGGCCAGCAAACAATAGCTACTACTGTAAAAGAGGATAAGCATCTCCTATTCTCCGTTCCGAGAGCTGGAGAAGCTATTTCAGCCAGCGAACCCAAGCAAAAGGTGCATATTTCTGGAGCTGAGAGCATCCAAATATTGACCAAGGAAAGCTCTTTGGCAGTCCAAGTACATAAGTCAGAGAAGGGAGTGCTAGTGCAGGAGGAGCACAGTTGCTTTCAGTCCATTATGGCAGCCCAGCAGCGTGAGATAAGTGAGGCTCATACAGTGGCAATGAATAATGTTGACGCACCTGAAAATGTTCAGCCAACCCAAGAGTCATTAAAGGTACTGCAGGTGGCTCTGATTGCCTCTGAAGAGACATTCCCCAAAGAGAGGACCTTTGAAGCAGCTATGGAAGAGCTGCAAAAAGGCTCCCTGAAGCAGGACAACCTTGTGAAAGCAGCCCTGATGGCAGAAGAAAAACAGAAGCTCTCCCATGAACTCACCGAAATGATTCCTCAGTTAGAAAGCACAGTCCCAGCAGAGATACAGAAAGCAGGTGGAAGCCCATTGCATTTGCCCATTGCGTTTGAACAAGCAACTCTTCCTAAAGAAGAGCACTTTAGTGCTGAGGTACCACCAGAAGATGAAGCCGTATCTAGGAAAAGCCAAAGGCTGTTTCACAGCTTAATAACAGAAGAGCAGCTTCCCACGTCATGCGAAGAAGCTAAGCTTCTTTCTCCCCTGGGGGAAGCAGTCAGCCTGCAGTTTGTCAAAGAGCCTGTTTCTCTTTTGCATCTCCAGACCAACGACACTGAGCAAGTGTTGTCTAAGGAAGGCATTTTGGCTTTACCAAAACCTGAATGCCAAACTGCATTGCAGAAAGCAGAAAGCATGATTAAGCGCACTGTGATTTGTGAGGAAAAGACCCCAATCTCTGCAGATGCCCTGGAGGCCTTTCAGGATGAGATTGCTGGAGAAAGGACTTTGACTACATTAGAGCCTCAGCTCCGTAAGTGTTTGACTGTTGTGGCAGAAGAATGGCTATTGCCCAAAGAGCAAATTCTTCCTCAAATGGCCACAGAGCAGAAAGCAGTCTTGAAGAAAGATGATTTTCAGATGGTTATGCAGGCTTCAGATATCACTGAAAAGAGGGTCTTGGCTGCTGAGTACATTAAACCACTGAAGGATGTGGCAGGCAAGAGCTGTGGGGTAGCCTCTGAGCCCAGACTAGTATTGGAATCCCTATGCGTTGAGGAATTCGGCGTTCCTATTGAGAATGCTGATCTGTTAGAAGCCACAGAGCAAGATTTTGCAGCACGAATCCAAGAAGGACAGTCAGTCAGGCTTCCATTAATGCTAGAAGAAAAACAGCCTTTCAAGGAAGAACACGTAAACAAACTCAGAAGTCCGGAAAGTCAACACATGACAGTCCAGAAACAATCAAGAATAGTGATGGGAATGCCTGAAACTCTGGAAAACAAAACTCTTTCTAAAGAAAGTCAACTTGCAAGAGAAATTCTAGCATGTTGCAGCCTAGATGTGAAACCTCCAGAAAGAAGTCCCTTAAAAATAGCTCTAATAAATGAACATCATTCATTTTCTTTTGACACTTTCAGTGATGTAGAAAGTATTCAAGTAAAAACTGTAAGAATAGTCAGGGAACCTAAACATTCTATGTACATCTGCCTTGTTACCAAAGAAAGTTCAAATACTGCAGAAATAACTCTTCCCTTTGATGGAATATATTCACATAAAGCTACCTTAAAAAATGAATTGCAAGCTCCATTTCAGCCTGTTGTTCATGAAGAGAAATACACTCTGATGGCAGATGAACCCAAAGTTATATCTGAAACGAAATGCTGTAAGTTGCTTATTATTTCTTCATCTTTCAGAGAAATGCACTCAGGTATTGTAACTGATATGCCTGTTCAACAGCAAACAGTTGGGGATCTCATTGGTTGCCTTGAGCCACAATGTGCCAGAATGAGTACTGAATCCAAAATACAGCTGGAGCAACTTGTGTCTGCCCAAGAAGTCAAAACTGTTGCTCTAAAGGAGCAAATTAAAGATGTTGGTACAACCTCACTTACCCTTGATATTCCATCAGTGCCTGCCTCAACTGAAAAACCAATAGATACTCTGAAAGTGAGAGAAAGAAAAGAAGAACATTTTGAGGAACATGACGAGGAGACACATATAGTTGAAGCCAAGGAACAAGAAGACAGAAGTCCCATCATGTACCTAGGTTTGATGGACACTGTTGTTGAGGAAGGTGACAGTGTGAAATTTACTTCCAACATAGTAAATGCTGAGGTGGTAAATTGGTATTTTGAGAGTAATCTGATATTTTCAGGCAGTGAGTTCAAGTGTTTGCAAGACCATGACACTTACACACTCATAATCAACCAAGCACTCAAGGAAGTACATCAAGGAGAGTACACCTGTGAGGCTCTGAATGAAAATGGAAAAACGACAGCAACAGCAACACTCACAGTTGTAAAAAGAGGTTGGAATATGGGGATAAGATATTACTTCTCTTCACTGATTTTCTAACTCAGTAGAACACATACACATATTTATATCCATAAATATTTTGGATATTAATATACAAAGTGTATAAACTTCCATAGTACATCACAAAACTAATCACAAAATTCACCCTTTTGTCTTTTCCTTAGTGTGCATGCACTCTCACTCTCTGGTTCCTCATGCACATGAGTACCTACTCTAGTCTTCAAAATTATTGTACCATACTTTTCATTCTTTGGTAATATGATCACATTAATTATTATAATTTCTTTCAGAAATAACGACAAAGATCATTTATAATTTATAATTATAATGTGTAGTCATTCTTTTTAAAAAGAGTGCATGTCTTAACACTTTCATCCCAATATCTACAGAGAAATTATTCACTCTTTCTTTTCACTGTTACAATAAGGGAGCACATACTCAGGAGGAAGTTCCATTGAAAACTGTGGGACTTGCTTATCAGTAAATAAATACAGAAATTCCACTATGCGTCATGAAAACTTTTCCACCATTTGAACTTACTTCTCACATTTCATTTTGCCACTGTTTCCGCACGACCTGGTATAATTCTGTATATCACGTTCTTTGCATGTCTTATTGTAGTAAGCAGAAATCTTAGTATCTTCAAAGTTCCACTGTCCACTTCAGTGGAGCCTGGCAGTAGCCTGGCCATCACGACATCACTTGTAGCTTGCTTTCATTGCTAACTACCATTTTCTTCTACAGTCACTTTCCTTGAATTGTCCACAGACAGGAAATCACCCATCCTGTTCTGGTCATCCCTGTATTAACAGAGATTGAGAATAATATCATCTTGTGCACTCTCGTTGTTATTCATGTACATGCTGGTGACTGTAACTTTTTTTTTTTTTGCTTTTAATTTTAGTTGCACCCATCCTGAGGAGAAGGCTAGAATCCCAAGAAGTTGCTGTGAACCACCTTGCCAAGTTCACTTGTGAGATTGAAATGGCACCAGATGTACGATTTCAGTGGTACAGAGCAGGACGGGAAATCTTCGATGGGGATAAGTACACCATTTATACAGCTAATTACACATCGATTCTTCAAATCCCAAGACCTCAAGTTGTGGACTGTGGTGAATACAGCTGCAAGGCATCCAACCAGTATGGGAGTGTCAGCAGCAAAGCCACATTAACAGTAACTGGTAAGGGCGGTACCTGAACCTCAGTTTGCTTTCTTATCACATATTTGGGTATATTCATTGTTACTGCCATGGTTTAAGAAAATAAGCAAATACGAAGTCTGTTGTGATACCACATTTAGAGTACAAATAACACCTACATCGATATCCACAAGTCTCCATTAGCAGAAAGGCTGCTGGTGGGATGGGGGTCAGCAGGAAACTCCACCCCCCATAGAACATAATGGGGAGAGCACGAATGAGTTGCGGGTAAATGCATTTTGTTTTTATCGTATTCTTCTCAAAACATTCTTAAATGTCTTCTGTTTCCTGAAGAAATGATACCTTTAAGCAATTCATCCAATCGCAAATCTATATAGATGCATCTGGTTTGATTTACTACTTGCATATTGTGAAATCCATGAGTGTTAGGTGGGAAACCATCTCAAAATAAGTATCTTAAGGGCCATCTTAAAGTAAATAAAGGACACGTTACATGTGGATATTTCTCTTTTTTAAAATACTGATACAAGTCTTTTCAAAAAATATGCTTGCTACATCTTTTTAAAAATGCTACTGTAAGATTTCATGCAACCCTTATTACAAGATAGTTCTGGAATGCAGGTAAATTAATCATATGGGAACCTAATTTTGCAGCAAGATTACTCTTTCTGGATGAAATTCTAAGTTTTAAAATTCACATTATGTTAGGTGAACCTAGAGATAATAATTATGATAAATATATTGGCTATTGGGGATTTTTATTTCATGTTATCTTTAGACAATATAAGGCATGGGAAAATAATGATTTCAGTCTTTTCCTTTGGGGGGA